TCCCCACTTTTTTCTTTTGGGATCTTTCCCAGAGAGCTCTTCCTTGAGTCCTGGTGCAAAAAACGGGGCTCTGGACTTCTGTTCCTCTGTTCCAGGCTAGTTTTGGCATTTTTCCTCCTCAGTTTCTTGGATGCTTTGAAACCTGCATAAAATTACTTTAAAGAATTTTCAGGTGGAAAGGACTTCCCCGGAGCAGGGCTGCTGTCAGGCTGCTCCGTAGCTGCCAATTGTTTCTCTCTATCCAATTCTTTTTCCTGCCTCCCCCCCCAGTCAAGTTTCAGTTAAAGTTATAGTGTTAGCGATGGAGCCTGTCAGAAGTGGACAGTCAGAGTGATGTGTTCTGTCAGCTAAGTAACCAGTTAGTCAGAAATGAAGCTACTGTAGTTCCACTCAGTGATGTAACAAGTTAACATTTTCTGTCCTGCCTGGTGTAGCATAAAGTTACACGTGCAGAGGTTTATAAAGGCTTATGCTCATAGCGTATATGCTGTATGTCTTATTGCACCATCGATTTTCTGACAAATTACATATACATTTTATTTATTTAAATAATTTTCCCCTCCCTTTCTACTTAAAGAAGACCCAAGGTGGCTTACTTCATTAAAAAGACAATACAGTGGTGCCTCGCATTACGACGTTAAAACGTCATAATGCAAAATTTAAAAGCCCATAGAAACACATGAAAACCCGATTAATGTGTTCCTATGGGCTTGAAACTCACCGTCCAGCGAAGATCCTCCATAGCGCGGCCATTTTCGCTGCCCGTGCAGCGAGGAATCCATCCCAGAAAAGAGCGGGGAGCCATTTTTTTTACCCAGCGGCTATTTTGAAACTGCCGATCAGCTGGCTGAAAATTGTCATTTTGCGAGAATTGGTTCCCGAAGCAGGGAACCGATCATCGCAAAGCGAAATTCCCCCATTGAAATCATCGTAAAGCGATCCCTTTTGTGATCGCAAAAAGTTCATCGTGATGCACTTTTGTTGTTAAATGGGGTGCTCGTCTTGCGAGGCACCACTGTACTTAAAAGCTAAAAACAGTTAAGAATATAAATATTATATAGAAATAAAATCAACAGTAAAAACATTTTTAAAGCAACAAGGCACAACAATTTAAAATCCCCACTTAGGCATCCAGTCACTAATGGAAAGCCTGCCTGAAGAGAAAGGCCTTCATCTGCCTGTGAAAGGAGAGATGGGGACAGCCTGGTTTCCAGTGGGAGGGAGTTCCACAATCTGGGAGCAATGACAGATAAGGCCCTCTGCTTTGTCCCCACCAAGTACACCTGTGAAGGTAGTGGGACCAAGGGAAAGGCTTCCCCTGAGGATCTTAACACACTAGCAGGCTCCTAAAGGGAAATGCAGTCCTTGGGATAGCTTGAACCCAAGCTGTTTAGAGCTTTATAGGTTCTTTTGTCGTTTAGTCGTGTCCGACTCTTCGTGACCCCATGGACCAGAGCATGTCAGGCCCTCCTGTCTTCCACTGCCTCCCGGAGTTGGATCAAATTCATGTTGGTTGCTTCAATGACACTGTCCAACCATCTCGTCCTCTGTCGTCCCCTTCTCCTCATGCCTTCACACTTTCCTAACATCAGCATCTTTTCCAGGGAGTCTTCTCATGAGATGGAGCCTCAGTGACCACTCAGGCTTGATTTCCTTTAGAATGGATAGGTTTGTTCTCCTTGCAGTCCAGGGGACTCTCAAGAGACTCCTCCACAATTCAAAAGCATCAGTTCTTTGGCAGTCAGCCAAATAATATAGGTTATTTCTAGATCCTGCTGCCTAGTAGCTCAGTGGTTTAGGTCTATGGCTGTGGAGTTAGATGTTGGGAGTTCAGTTCCCCTCTGTGCCTCCTTGATGGGCTGAACTTGATAATCTATAGCAGTGATGGGGAACCCATGGCATGCATGCCACAGCTGGCATTCAGAGCCCTTTCTGCGGGCACCGCAAGCCATAAGTCGCCGATTCACTATTCCCCCCCTGCAACCAAACCTGAGAAGGTGGCTGCAGCCACAGTGCTGGCGCTTCGATGGGCAGCGGGCCAGAGTCTGGAGTGGGGTTTGAGGCACCTCCATGCCTGCTGGTGCTTCAATGGGCAGCGGGCCAGGGTCTGGAGCAGCTGGTGCTGGCGCCAGATCTGGAGTGGGGTTTGAGGCACCTCCATGCCCGGGATTCACCCTTCCACTGCCACTTCCCGTTCTGCTGCCCACTAGTTTTTTTTTCCAGTTTGGGCACTCAGGCCCAAAAAAGGTTCGCTGCTACTGATCTATAGGGTCCCTTCCAGCTCTGTGGTTCTAAGGTTATTATTTCTTTTCTCTCTTCCCTTTCCCCTCAGAAGAAAACAATTTGAACATTTCTCCCTTTCTTGTGAGCCTCCTACCACGCTGACAGCCATTTTTATTTTCTCATCTTCCTTGTTCCCCCGCCGGCAGCTTTTTCCTTCATCCCTTGCTAAGGTCTCATCACAGACAAAGGGAAGATACTGTATTTTTTGCACCATAAGACGCACTTTTTCCCCACAAAACAGGGGGGTGGAAAGTCTGTGCGTCTTATGGAGCGAAAAATACGGTAAATTCAGTTAATCGTTCAAAAGACCCAACCGATTCTTCTGTTTTCTAGTCAAACACATCAGGACACAACAAAGAGCGTAATAGAAAATGACACAGGACTGTGAAATACCATTTCTTTTCAGCTTCGGGAAATCTAGGCACCACTTACAATAATAGAAGCTGTGAAACCTGTATCTGATGATAAGTCTTCCTGCTGTACTAGGTCTCTTTTCTCCAAGGCACCTGAAGGATAAGCTGTCCACAGACCTAGCTTCTATTCTCCCTGTTTACAAGGCACCAGAGCAGGACCTGCAGGAATCTCTGAGACGGCCCAGCTCATGCTTCTTTTCTCTACCCCATAGGCAGTGGAATGGCAACAAAGGCAGGCTCTGGATTATATCCTTGTTGTGGTGGACCAGAAAGAATGGCTGTACACCTGATTCAGGTAAGGAAGGGAGTATCCGTGAAAGAAGCAATGGAACAACCTCGGTGCTCCCCTTGTGTTTGTTGCTGAAATAGTATCTTTCTTTTCAATACTTTTGTGAGGACTTTTCTGAGTTTCTCATGACATCATGAATTCTACAAAGGAAGAGTAAAGGAAAAACCATTTATGGTTTGTCGTTGCATTGTAGGAGTTTAGCTGTTTGCTTAGTAAAATGTTTGCAAAGCCACCCATTTATGGTTTGTCGTTGCATTGTAGGAGTTTAGCTGTTTGCTTAGGAAACTATATTGGAGAAGTAATGTCCTTCCCTTTTTTTTTTCTGGCAGCACATGTCCTTTGAGGAGGTGGCCGTGCATTTCACCCAGCAGGAGTGGGATCTCCTAGATCCAGGCCAAAGAGCTCTTTATACAGAAGTCATGCTGGAGATCTACAGGATGGTGGCCTCCCAAGGTAAGGACAACATCTGTGCCACATCTGTGCTCCTTCTGTTCCCCCATTTTTATGCTGCTAATTCAGGAGAGAGGAGTCTGTTCTCAAAGCAGGGTCGAACTCAGCAGAAGCCAGGGACAGGGTTCAGCAGCCCATAGAGGGTAGGTACTAATTTCAGGGAAGAGCAGGGCCAAGATGGCAGGGTGCGTGCGTCCAGAAAGCATGTAGTCCATAAAAGGACAAAACAGGTTGATCTTGCAATGAGAGGTGGGAGTACTGGATCTGTGTCTGGCTGTGGCAATGGGGTAGAGCACAGCTGAGAAACAAAAATAAATTGCAGTGTAATTCGGGCAAGACAGAGACACTTCGTCATGATGAAGTGTACTCGGCATATTCTATAGGAGGTGATACACAATCTCTAGGATTTGGTTTATAGTCTGTTGCTGCGTTGTTACATGCTGACAAGTCACCTCTGACATGACAGTCGTATGAGTAATGTCAAAAAAAGTCCTGTGCTCAGTAACCTTGCTCAGTTCTTTTAAACTGAATCCTGTGGCTTCCTGAAAGATACTGAAAGAGAAGGGAGTTCAGGATGGCTGGGAATTTCTTAAAAGGGAGGTACTAAAGGCATAATCTAAAACTATCCCTATAAGAAAGGGAAATGGGAGATGTCTATAAAGAAACCAGAATAGTTAGCTAAAGAACTTTCAACTGAGTTAGGTGTTAAAAAAAACATGTACTTGAAAAAATGGGGAAAACCCCAAAGAGGAATAAAAGCAAACAGCCAGTATATGTCGGTAAGAAAAGCAAAAGTGCAGAAGGAACTCAGGCTTGCTGGGTAGATTAAAAACAATAAAAAGGGCTTTTTTAGTTATGCCCGCCGCAAAAAGGAAAAACAAGGAAATGATAGGGTTGCTAGACTACGATTTTGGAATATTCCTTCACGTTTTTCCCCGCACTTTTCTATTGGCTATTGACCTCTCGACTGGCTATACTGTGTTTTCCTCCGGTATTCTGTTTTGGATTTTTTTAAGGTAATTGTTGACAACTTTGGACTGTTCTTTTGTGTGGAGAAGATGACCAACTACTAACAGAGGACAGGGAAAAGGCTGGACTTCTCAACACCTTCTTTGCCTCAGTTTTCTCCAAAAAGGGAAATAGTGCTCTATCTGAGGGACGAAGATCAGGTGATGTAATGGGGGAAATGCAGCACAGAATAGGTAGAGAAGTAGTACAGGAATACCTGGCAACTCTAAATGAATTCAAGTCTCCAGGGCCAGACGAATTACATCGAAGGATACTAAAAGAACTGGCAGAAGTAATTTCAGAACCATTGGGAATAATATTTGAGAATTCTTGGAGAACAGGAGAAGTCCCCACAGACTGGAGGAGGGCAAATGTTGTCCCTATCTTCAAAAAGGGGGGGGGGGGAAGACCCAAATAATTATCGCCCAGTCAGCCTAGCATCAATTCCCAGAAAAATTCTAGAGCAGATCATTTAACAGACCGTTTGTTATTACTTAGAAAGCAAAGCTGTCATCACTAAAAATCAACACAGGTTTCTCAAAAAGCAAGTCATGCCAGACTAATCTGATCTCTTTTTTTGATGGAGTTACAGGCTTGATACAGGAAGGGAACACTGTGGATGTAGCATACAGTGTCTTGATTTCAGTAAGGCCTTTGACAAAGTTCTCCATGATATACTTGCAAGGAAGCTAGTAAAATGTGGACTAGACAGTGCTGCTGTTCAGTGGATTTGTAATTGGTTGACTGTCCAAACCCAAAGGGTGCTCACCAATGGCTTCTCTTCATCCTG